ACATTCCTCGCGTGTGGGCAAGTGTGAAGACCAAACCCACCATGACTAAGGCCCTCGGGCTGGGTGGTAACTTGTTTGGAACATCCCTTGAGGTGGGTAGGTTGGTCAATTACTCACTCCCTCGGGCTGGGTGGCCTCATGTTTGGAACATTCTTCGCAGGTGGGTAAGTGTGAAGACCAAACCTACCATTACTAAGGCCCTCGGGCTGGGTGGTCGCTTGTTTGGAACATCCCTTAGGGTGGGCAGGTTGGTCAATTACTCACGCCCTCGGACTGGGTGGCCTCATGTTTTGAACATTCTTCGTGGGTGGGCAAGTTTGAAGACCAAACCCACAATGACTAAGGCCCTCGGGCTGTGTGGTCGCTTGTTTGGAACATCCCTTAGGGTGGGCAGATTGGTCGATTACTCATGCCCTCGGGCTGGGTGGCCTCCTGTTTGGAACATTCCTCGTGGGTGGGCAAGTGTGAAGACCAAACCCAACATGACTAAGGCCCTCGGGCTGGGTGGTCGCTTGTTTGGAACATCCATTGGGGTGGGTAGGTTGTTCGATTACTCACGCCCTCGGGCTGGGTGGCCTATTGTTTGGAACATTCCTCGCGGGTGGGCAAGTGTGAAGACCAAACCCACCATGACTAAGGCCCTCGGGATGGGTGGTTGCTTGTTTGGAACATCCCTTGGGGTGGGCAGGTTGGTCGATTACTCACGCCCTCGGGCTGGGTGGCCTCATGTTTGGAACATTCCTCATGGATGGGCAAGTGTGAAGACAAATTCACCACGACCAAGATCCTAGAACTGTGTGGAGAGACATGAAAACAAGAACATCAACGAAGCAAGTGGAGCTGCAAGTAGACTTTCGAGCCCAGAGGTCATGTACGAAGGCATAAGCGTAAAAAAGAAATCCAATGATCTTGAAAACCCATCATGTTTAAGGCCGTGAGGTTGGATGGTCGCATGCCTCGACTACCTCTGAAGGTGGGCATGTGTTACAAATCAAAAACCCATCATGTTTAAAGTCGTGAGGCTGGATGGTCGTATGCTTCGACCACCTCTGAAGGTGGGCATGTGTTACAAATCAAAAACCCATCATGTTTAAGGCCATGAGACTGGATGGTCACATGCTTCGACCACCTCTGAAGGTGGGCATGTGTTACAAATCAAAAACCCATCATGTTTAAGGCCATGAGGCTGGATGGTCGCATGTCTCGACCACCTCTGAAAGTGGGCATGTGTTACAAATCATACTGATAGTGATGGATTGAAAGTAAGTGTAACGCCCCACTTTTAATAGACGAAATTTAGAATAAATTTTTCAAAATTTATTTCATCACTAAGTGAGGCGTTACTCATTTTCAAAAGCAATTTCCAATAATCAACATTAATCGCAATTCTCAATCATCAATCATCATTCCTCATTTAAATAATCATAAATCCTCATATAGAACTAAGGAGAATCTCCTTAACAATAATTCAATTCTCAATAATCCAAAATCCATTATTCCAAAACACAATAATATTATACGACAATTCAATAGGCGGAAGCAACATTCAATTATAGATCACCACTCGCCTCCCTCTGTCGTGCCCGCAATACTAACCTGCATCCATGAAGAGCAGGTGGGGATGAGCACAAGAGGAACAATAGTGCTCACCACTATGCAGTAAACGTTATTTACAATAATGAAACAGTAATCAATAATCAAAAGGCATGGTCTCAACATGTATACGAATTAATCATTTATCCCAATTTTTTCCATCATATATATCATCAATCAAGACTCGTGTGCACACCTATATCAATAGACTACTGCTGGTAGACGTATCGAATGCCCCATGGGCTTTTATCGAATGCCCCTCGGGCTTATACGTCTAATGCCCCTCGGGCTTCTACACCGAATGCCCCTCGGGCTTCTATCGGTGCCAGCAGTAGGAGTAAACCCCACGGGTTTTACTTTACAATTACAGGGATAACCGTTCGACGGCCGACACAGCTCACATCAAAGGCTACATGGTTCACATATATACATTGATCATACCACAAATAGTCATTGACAACATTTACTGCATAGCAATTTAAATAAGACCCACCTGGCATCCGAAATAGAGAATTATGCAAATACTCACGATAGGTTCGAGGGCTCGACTTCACAAGACTCTAAAAATTTAACGAGATAATCCCCATCAACAAATTATATCACCCCTCCGAAAATTATTTTGTTAAGATGATTAATAAGCTTATAGGACACACAGAGCAGACAAGTAAGATAGATAAGGGCGACTGAGACAGATAAGGACAGTCAAAACAATTAATCAGATAAAAGCACATAAACTTTATAACTTCTTTTTCTTTACTTACCCAACTTAGATCATATAATAACAACGATTTAAACTCATGAAAAGACTCGGCCAGAAGATGGGAATACTCACATCTCAATTATATGCATGCCTTTCTAACATAATTAAGAACAATATACTATTTATTTATCTCCTAACATAATAATAACAATTCTCAAATACAACTAGT